ATTCTAACACAGGTTCACAAATTCTTTGATACTCATCCCTTCAGGAGGTAGAGCTTACTTCCCTTCCTCCAGAAATGGGCTTGACCTGGCGACTCATTTCTAGTTTCTAACAAATGAAGTAAGGAAATGGAAAAATAGTCACTTTAGTGAAACCAGGCAGATACTACCTTAATCAAGTTATCAAAGTTAACATCAGTAATAAGTCACATTGCTATCAAGTATCCCCTGAAATGCAGTATGACATGACAAGAAGGACATACCATCTCTGTGGTACTCCTCCCCAAAATGCCTCACTTCAGGCTAATCAAGACAAAACACCAGAAAACCCAATTCAGGAACATTCTACAAATAACTGACTGCTACTTTTCAAAGGTGTCAAGGAGAGAAAGGCAAGGAGAGACTCAGAAACTGTCACAGATTGTCGGAAACTAGGGAAACAGGACACCTAAATGTAATGTGGTATCCTGGATCAGATCCTGTAATAGAAAAAGGGTATCACTAGGGAAAAACTAGGGAAATGAGAAGAAAGCCTATATTTTAGTTAAAATAATATTAAACTAATATTGATGTCTTAATTTTAATAAATGTCTCACTACAGAAGATGTTAAATTTAAGGAAAGCTAGATAAAGATTATATGGATGTTCTGTACACTCTTGACAGTCTTTTTTAAATCTAAAATTATTTCAAAATAAATTATTTTTTAAACTGTCTTATTGTAAAGTCAGAAAGAGGGAAAGTAATACATTTTAAAAGAAATTTAAATACATGCAAACCACTAAGAAAGGTTTTATGGTGAGAAGATTAACATTTTCAAGTGCCTGGGAGGTACAGTAGGTTTAAAGTCAGACTCCTGGTTTCAGCTCAGGTTGTGATCTCAGGGTGGTGAGACAGAGCTGCACAGAGTCCCACTCTCTCTCTTGCTCCCCCTCCCGCCCTCACCCCTACAGACACATGCTCTCTCTCTCTCTCAAATAAATAATTAACTAGTTAAATAATTTTTCCCCCCAGGGGCACCTGGGTGGCTGGCTCAGTTGTTGGGTGTCTGCCTTCTGCTCAGGTCATGATCCGGGGTCCTGGGATGGAGCCCAGACAGAGTCGGGATCCCAGCTCAGCAGGAAACCTGCTTCTCCCTTTCCCACTCCCCCAGCTTGTGTTCCCTCTCTCACTGCGTCACTCTCCATCAAATAAATAGGTAAGATCTTAAAAATATATCCATATATTAAAAAGAAAAGGAAGATTAACTTTTCTACTGTACAAACAAACGCCAAAGTAAACTGGATTGACTTTCAAGCTCAAAAATTTAATGACATACGGGGCGCCCGGGTGGTGCCCCCAGTTAAGCCTCGGACTCTTAGTTTGGGCTCAGGCTGTGATCTCAGGGTGCTGAGACTAAGCCCTGGATCCCTTGGCACTCAACTTGGAGTCTGCTTAAAACACTCTCTCTCTCCCTCTCCCTCTGCACCCCGCCCCCCAATGCGCGCACTTCCACGTGCTCTCTCTCTCAAAAATAAATTAATCAAAAATTTAATGACATACAAAAGCAATTCCCATTAGGTCTGTGTCGAGAGATTAGCCCAGCAAGCTCTAAAAAGGTAGTGAATATGATCCCTCATATATATCAGTTTGCTTTAACCCCTTTCTTGACCATAATTGTCCTCAACACATTCCTAGCAGTAATCTACAGAAACCTGGTTCTAAAAGTACCATTTAGAAGAACAAAGTGAAATCAGTGAGTGATATTTACTCGGTTTCCTTTTCAAATTGATCAAATCAAATGAACCACCAGATGACTTCCATTAGGTCAAAATGTTCCTCAGATTTTCTTGCTTTTTAAGGAAAAATAAAATCTACACATCAACTAACCATGCTTAATATTTAAAAAAAGAAAAAGGGGGGCACCTGGCTGGTTCATTTGGTGGACCGAACACGCAACTCTTGATCTCAGGGTCTTGGGTTTGAGCCCCATGTTGCGGGGTAGAGATTAAAAACAGTAGTAACAGTAATTTTAAAAAGAAGGGAAAAATGGAAGAGGAGGAGAAGAAGGAAGAGAAAGAGGAGGAGGAAGATGCCCTAAATTCGAAGGGTCAACAGCAAAAATTTCAAGAGACAAAGATGGATCAATCGGGAAAATGAACAAGACATTTAAATCAGGAAGAACAAACTGACTAAAGCTAAGTCACCTATCTTGATGGGGATGAGGTTCAAATCACACAAACACTCCCCTTTACACAAGGGGACACTCACTTCCACAAACACCCCCACCCTATAACCAAAATTAAAACCACAAGGCAGTATCTTTCCCAGATCTCTTTTTTTTTTTTTTTTTTAAAAATTTTTTTTTTTAAAAAGAGAGAGAGAGAGAGATCACAAGTAGGCAGAGAGGCAGACAGAGAGAGAGGAAGAAGCAGGCTCCCCGCTGAGCAGAGAGCCCGATGCGGGGCTCGATCCCAGGACCCTGGGATCATGACCTGAGCCGAAGGCAGAGGCTTTAACCCACTGAGCCACCCAGGCGCCCCTCTTTCCCAGATCTCAATCCATTTCAAGCAAGCTTGGGAAACCTGTCCTACTTTCCCCTGAATGCCAGAGTAAGCAATTAATAAAAAGTTTTCATATCCTCAAGAAAAATAAAAAATAGAGCTAAGCCACCTAGACATAAGAATCCAGGTGCTTCCTTCATTGTCAGCAAACAATGGAAAATGACTTTTTAATATGTAACGTAAACTTACTCGTAAATTTGAGAAATTTAACACAGGTTAAATAGGCTGAAATGGTAAGTATTGGAAGATAGGACTTAAAAAAACAACGACACTGAGACAGGGTGGGAAAATGTTTTTAGAAGCTTCCCAGCACTGCCACACATTAATGTATTTATTCATACAATGGGAAAAGAAGGGAAACTCACTAGGATTCAGTAACTTGACTAAAATATCCCCTAAGAACATCCAAGGTTCCTTAGTTCCCATTCTATAATCAATTGCCTTTTTATTACTGATTTGGCTGCCCAGAAACAAAGGAGGTGTCCTAGCCAGTGGATAATTAATTCCAATTGTGTACGTGGCACTTTATACTTTCGGTGTAAATAAACTCGTACCTGGTTTATCAGTCTCTGGTGAGATTACTTTGCATGAATAAATTCTCAAGCGCTTGAGTCACCCTTGCATAAACCAAAAATTTCACGTATCTAAACTAGTGGGGGGGTTGGGGGGGAATCCAGAGAGACCTTGACGTGGATGCCAGTTCTGCCACATAACTATCTGTGTGACCCCTTACTTCTATCAGTCTCAATTTCCCCATCTGTAAACAAATACCTCCGGCTAGTGCCTAGAAGATGGCTCAATGCTCACAAGGTGATAGCTTTATTATTTTTAAGCTGAACTGGAGAGGAAGACTACCACTGATACAGGAACATCTCACTTGAAAAGGAGTAGTCTAGACCATCAACCCACTGCACTGGAAAGACACCCCCTGAAGAGAAAGATCCAGTCTCAGAGAGGTGAGAGGAGCAAAATTTAAAAGTTGCAAGTAAAGTAAGTACCTGCTGCACTGCACAGCTCTCCCTTAGCAACTCCAATGTTGTCTACCAAACACCCAGCCGGTAATAGTTAGAGCATGACAACTGTTCACTCTAAATCCATGTGCTCAGCTTGGATTCAGGACTGATTTATAAAAATAGCTGTTGCTGCTGCTCTTTGAATCTCTTTGAGCTGATGACTGGGCAGTGTTACCCTATAGGCCTAGAGCAGCTGTATTCCCTCACCACACCCATTTCTCTGCCTACCCAGCCAAGCTGACGGTACCCCCCTCCCATCTCTGCAGCATACTATTCTCCCTCTTCCTGGGCTGAGTGAGCAAATTACAAGCACAAATATCCCCTGATGCAATGCCACAACCATCCCTGGGAAAGAGCAGAGGCAGTTGCCAAAAGTGCAGCAGCAGGGAAATGGGCGGGAGACACACAGACAGACACACACACACACACACACACACAGAGCAAGAAACACTGCAATGCTATGCAGCCCTGGAGAGCGAATCGAGAGGCCCTGGGGAGCAATAGTGTAACCGAACCAGAGGAGGGAAAGGAGAAAGGGAGTTTCCAGGAGAGAGCTGGGTAACACTAACCTTCAGGAGAAGCACCTTTCACACCGGGTCTGGGTGCTAAAACACAAACCTAAGGGTAATGACTGCCTCCTCCCTAAAGTAGCAAAAGCATTTATTTTACACGTTCCTGGGTGGAAGCAAAAACAAAAACAAAAACAAACAAACAAACAAACAAACAAAAAAAAGTCGCCCCCACGGGGTAATTTCACCAAAAAAGGGCTCAGGCAACACCAGCGGAGAACCTGGTCCAAGTGCTAAATCACAATCTCGGTTCTGGGTAACGTTTCCAACTGCCCCCTCCCGGTCCCAGTCCCAATCCTCCCATCCCCACCCTTGCTGCGACGGCTTTGCCCTCCCGCAGCCAGACACACGCTAGTCCCCCAGCAGTGCGGGAGGGGACGCGCGCAGAGTCCAGGCTGGGGCCCGGTTCTCCAGACTGCCCCTCAGCCCCGCCCGTAACCCCAGACTGGCCACTCTCTCTAGCTCACATCAACCCCACCTCAACTGACCCCTGAAGTCTCACGGACCTTTGAGTTTTTCTACGCCCCCGAACCCCACCCAGGGCCCCAAACCGCAGCCGACCCTCGCTCCGCGAGCGCAACCCCATCCCGAGCCCAAAGCATGCCTCTCGGCCCCACGCTCCAGACGCCTGAAACCCCGGTACTCTCAGCCCCGTCCGCCCCGAGGCGCCCCCGGATCGCCGCTCTAAGCCTCGGAAGATCACGCCCGCAGGCCCCCCAGCCCGGCCGCCCCCGCGTCCCGCAGGCCCGCGGCCACCGCCCTTCCCAGCCTCGGGCGGGCCCTGAGGGGTCCCGGGCGGCCGCGGGGCGCGGCTCGGGCAGCCCCCGGGACAGTGGGGAGGCCGCCCCTCAGATCGCGCCCCGCCTGTCGTTGCACCTACCCGCCGCCGCTGCGCCGGAGCCGAAGCCGGAGGGAGACGGGAGACGGCCGGGAGGAGCCGGGAGGAGCCGGGAGAAGTCGGGAGGAGCCGGAGCCACCGAGCAAGCCCGTGGGGCGGGGCGCAGGGAGGCAGCCGCTTCCTCGTCGCCCTCTTGAGGGCCGGCGCGAGGGAGGGGCGCCGCCACCGCCTATCCCGCGGGCGCCGCTGCTCCGACCAATAAACGCGGCGAGGGGGCGGGCGGAGGGCTGAGGCAAGCCAATGGGCGTCGACCCCGCCGCCTCGACCTCGCAATGGTAGCGGCGCGAGCAGAGGGCCGTTGGGGGCGAGGTACGCATGGGGGCTTCAGACTCCCGCCTCCCGCCGGCTAGCGCCTGGGCGAACGGCGGGTAGACCGACCGCCGCCAGGGCTTTGTAGTGGACGTTGCTTCCTTTCAGAACTTGGGTGCCTGGAGCGGGGAGGATGCGAGCGGCCGGGTACACGCGGCCGGGGCCCGGGTCTCCCTGCCCGCAGGGCCTGCGGGTTCTGTGATGTAACCTGGGCGGGGCGCGGGGCGGGGCCTAGGGCGCGGGCCAGCTGGTCGCGGGAAGGAGTTGTGGGGAGACGGGGACGCGGGTGTGGGGCCCCTCCAGGGCTGCGCTGCCACCAGTCACAAGCGACGTGGCTGTTTCAAGTTGAAATGTGCTGTAGATGTAGAGTACACATCGGATTTCCGAGACTTAGCACCAAAAAATAGATCTCATTCATAATTTTATATTGATTATAAACGACAGTTGATAGCAAAATTGGTTATTACCGTTTTAGATCTATTTGATTAAAGAAAACACATTTAAAATAGTTTTATGGTGTTTTTTTGTTTTGTTGTTGTTTGCTTTTTAAAATGTAGCCACTAGGAAACTTAAAATTACTGTTTGGGTCACGTTATACGCTTGCTAGCTAGGAGTGGTCCAGAAGGAAAAGTGATGGCTCACGCCTACTGAGTACTTATAGTCCAGGCACTCTCGTTTAAGTGTGTGACACCTAATAACTCCTTTTGCTGCCACAAGGATGCTCTACAATTGGTGTTAATGTTCCCATTCTCATTTTACAGATGAGAAACAAACACAGAAGTTTGGTAATTTACCTAATGACCGGCAAGCCAGCAATCAGCAGAGTGGTGCTTTAACTCAGGCAACCAGGCCTTGGGGCCATGTAGTCCACCCCTAGAGCTGGCGGTTACCTGCTCTAGAAAGAACACTGCACTTGCTCGAAAGCCCTGGTTGGATGTCAGCGCTGCTACTTTGTGTGTCACCGTGGGGAAGTTCAGCTGCCTTAGTAAAAGTGAGATAATGCAGTTACCGGCCTCTGTCATAGCCCCCATTAGGGTGACCTGGAAGTAGCAGAGTGAGGTAGTTAAACTTGGACTCTGGACCCTGAGTCCTTGTGTACAAATCTGGGGACTGCTACTTACAAGTTATGTGAGCTTGCAGGAGATATTTCATATCTCTGCTCCTCATTTTCCTCAACTGTAAAGTAGATAGCAGTGGAACCTACTTTATTAGGGTTGTTAGGTGGTCATATGTGTTGATATATATAAAGTGCTTAGATTGGTGCCTAGCATTTAGGGTACTGCTCATAATGACTATGAAGGAGTATTTATGGCTTATACAAATACAGAGGAATGAAGAGTAGAAGGATAAGTGGAAAAGGCATAGTTCTATGAATTTGGAGCCCTGGAAAGAACTTCAGGCCAGTCACAGAGAACTGAAATGACTGATCTAGGTCACAGACCAATTCATAAGGCAGGTGTTGTGGGACCAAACTCAAAGCTTTTCCCCTCTCTCACGCGGACTCCAGGGCAGGGGAACTACCATTACAAGCTTGAATTCATTCATCCAACAGACACTGAATGAGTACCAGCACGTCAGGAAGGACCACACGGTGATAGTCACTTACTAAAAAGTAAATAAAATAGACTTCCTATCCTAATGAATTAGCATTACTTCATACATTACTTCCACAGCTTTTTGTCCAAACAGGAGCCTAGCTGTTCTAAGGGAAACATACAGGTGGGAGCTAAAAAGTTACTCTAATCCTTCTCGCTGCCTAGAGTAACCAGCCCCAATGTCTGTCCCAGGCTTCAAGAGTGGAATTAGCTTTGAGCTCCTTAGAAGTCAGATGACTAGGAAAATTCAAAAATGTTAGAATATTCCATTCCTTCTTTAATAAAGTCACCATGTTATATGTATCCCGTATCCCAAGATAGTCACTCAAGAGTCATTCTCAATTATTCCCCCCTTCTCCCCATCTCAGGCCTTCCAGATGCTCCTTCTGCCTCAGAAACTTCTCCACCAACACTGATGCTGTCTGGTTCATTCCCTTTTCTCTTTCCTGCATACTGCCACAGCTACTTCCAAGCCCTCCCTCCCGCCTGTTTCAGTCCCAGTTACACAACTTACACACCACCCTCTCCAGTTCATACACTCCTCCTGCACCCCCCTACATGCCTCTCTGGTACAGCACTCACCACATATGTGGAATCATTCATGTAAACGTGGATCTGCCCTAATAGATTGTTTCTCAAAGTATAGTCCCTTCTGTTTCCCGACCTCCAATGGATAAGAACACTTCCTCCAGTGCCAGAATACCCAGGATGGAAAGCATAGAACCCCAGCAACAGAGTTGGAAAGGATCTTAGCAAACATCGAGTTCCATATCTAAGGATATATTTTTGAGGCTCTACAAGTTCATAATAAGGCATTTTAGGGTGATCTAGTGAATTTATTATACATGAAAAGTGTGCTTTATATTTATTCATCCAAATTTTGACCAAGGACCAGGACATAGACATGAGCAGAACCCAGTGACTTACCATAGAGATTTCCCTCCAGTTTTAACAGAAACTTCTTCAGTGACTTTCCATTGCATTAAAATCCTTGGTTTTCAAGACCCTGTGCAATGATGCTGTCTCCAGCTCCCCTCATCCTCTGCCTTACATCTCACTATGCACAGCATCATCTGCCTTCCTTGTTTCTTGAACTGTCCCTTCTCAGGACCTTCCTCATACCACTGCCTATTCCAATGTGTAGGTAATACGATTTTCTACATAGAAAATTGGGGGAGAGCTACAAACTATTAGAATTAATAAGAGTTCAGCAAGGATATTCCATATAAGGGTAATATACAAGAAGGAATAGCATTTCTATATACCAATAATCATCTATAAAATATGATTGGAAAAAATAAAATCAATATGGTACCTAGGAATTAACCTTAACAATAGAGTTGTAAGACTTATATAGATAAACATTACAGGGGTGCTGGGTGGCTCAGTCAGTTAAGTTTCTGCCTTCGGCTCAGGTTATGATGCCAGGATCCTGGGATTGAGCCCCACATTGCACTGGGCTCCCTGCTCAGTGGGGGAGCCTGCTCCTCCCTCTCCCTCTGCCACTCCCCCTGCTTGTGATCTCTTTTTCTCTCTCTGTCAAATAAATAAATGAAATCTTTTTTTAAAAAAAGAAAAATGGGCACCTGGGTGGCTCAGTGGGTTAAAGCCTCTGCCTCCGGCTTGGGTCATGATCCCAGGGTCCTGGGATCGAGCCCTGCATCGGGCTTCTGCTCAGTAGGGAGCCTGCTTCTTCCTCTCTCTCTGCCTACTTGTGATCTCTGTCTGTCAAATAAATAAATAAAATCTTTAAAAAAAAAAAAGAAAAACATTATAAAATTTCCTTATTTTTTTTTTAAGAGAGAGAAAGAGCACAGAGGCGAGGGACAGAGGGGAAGGAAGAGAATCCTAAGCAGGCTCAACATACAGCACAGAGCTCAATGCGAGGCTCAATCTCACAACCACGAGGTCATGACCTGGGCCGAAATCAAGAGTTGGATGCTTAACTGACTGAGCCACCCAGTCACCCCAAAACTTGACAAAGTTAGAAGGAAATACATTTATGGGAGTGCCTGGATGGCTCAATCATTAAGCATCTGCCTTCAGCTCGGGTCATAATCCCAGGGCCCTGGGATCGAACCCTGCATGGGGCTCCCTGCTCAACGGGAAGCCTGCTTCTTCCTCTCCCACTCCCCCTGTTTGTGTTCCCTCTCTTGCTGTGTCTTTCTCTGTCAAATAAGTAAATAAAATCTTTAGAAGAAAGAAAATACATTCATGGAGTTATCTTGATGCTCTCAAGGTAGGAATTTCTAGCTGAAATTTCCTGGTACCAACACTTGCCAGATAAATACACAACTTTAACATACCAATTATTATCATAATTTATGATGTTTATGTAAGAATTCCATGGGGAGAGGGAAATAAAAGAAAATGGATTGGAATTTGAATAGAATAGGATCATAGAATTAAGAGCCAGAAGAATCTTTTGGGTCATTAAGCCCAAACCTTTTTCAAGTGAGGTAATTGAGACATGATGAAGACCCACAAAAAAGTGGCAGAACCCAGACTTGAACCTATTTTCCGATCTTCAGGCAGGATTTTCTTTCATTTTAAAATGATGTAATGTAATGTACGAGGCGCCTAGGTGGCTCAGTTGGTTAGGCGTCTGCCTTCAGCTCGGGTGGTGATCGCAGGATCCTGGGATGAAGCCCCGATTCGGGCTCTCTGCTCAGTGGGAAGCCTACTTCTCCCTCTCCCTCTGTTGCTCTTCCTGCTTTTGTCAAAGAAATAAAATAAGAAAAAATAAGATAAGATCAAATAAAATAAAATGGTGTAGCATAGGGATGCCTGGCTGACTCAGTCAGAGGAGCATGTGACTCTTGATCTCAAGTTTGTAAGTTCAAGACCCATGTTGGATGTAGAGATTACTTTAAAAACTAAAATAGGGGTGCCTGGGTGGCTCAGTGGGTTGAGCCTCTGCCTTTGGCTCAGGTCATGATCCCGAAGTCCTGGGATCGAGCCCCGCATCTGGCTCTCTGCTCGGCAAGGAGGCTGCTTCCCCGTCTCTCTCTGCCTGCCTCTCTGCCTACTTGTGATCACTCTCTGTGAAATAAATAAAATCTTTAAAAAAAATAAAAATTAAAAAACCTTAAAATAATAAACAAACAAACAAATAAATAAAAT